CAGCAGATTTTGGTTTAATATGACTTAATGAACAACTGCCCCATCAAATTGATGTATGCAGTAGTCATCCATGATGAATAGTTGATTTAAGAGTACCCAAATCAAAACAGGCAGAAACATGACAACTGATCAGTTAGAATGCTCAACAAAATAAACCCTGGTTGTATGCTTGTGGCTTACATTCATCCCACATACTCAAGCACCTCCTGTCAGATCTGGGACCCTCACAGATGTTGATTTAGAGTTAGACCCAAAAAGTCTAGGATTTTGCCCAGAAATCTAGCTTTTGAGGCTCTATCTAAATTGCTTCTGGGAGACCTGCAGATATTGATGGGAAGCTTTCCATTTGCTGTCTTTTTCTGCCCTTATCTGCAAGTCTAACTCAGGTTGGTGATATGTAAATGCAAGTCAAGATGGCCACCTCTGCATCAAATTGACCATTCAACTCAAACTAACATCATGGCTTGAATCAATCTTGTACAAAACTGGATCCATATTGATTCAAGAAAAGAGCACAAAAACCATTTACTCTCACAAGAAGAAATTCAAAGCAAAAAAAGGTGTGATCTATGTACAGTAGGGGTGAGGATGGGTCGGGTCGACCCATGAGGAGGCCAAGTTTCAACATGCATGCTTTTGTTGAAACTTGCCCGGCATGCTGAGTTATTGACACACAGGAGTTACAACTCCCAAGTCCCAATCTGAGACATGAACAATGATAGTACAATCAACCAGAGTAGCTGGCCAATGATGGATCTAGTTGTCTTTCTTTTTTTATTTTTCTCTATTCTCCATTCACCTTTCTTTGTTTCTTAATCTTTCTCTCCAAATACATACACTCTTTAAATGATTCAAAGAAGAAGGCATCATGCCCCCCCCCAAAAAAAAACCCCCTCCGCCTAAAAAAATCCTCTGCCTCAAAAAGTCCTCTGCTTAAAAAGAATAAATAATGGTAGCCCCATGGGTCAACCCATGGGTCGACCCACGTCGACCCATGACCCAAGTTGTGGGTCTTGGGTCGGGGCGGGGCGGAAGTTTTTGAAAAAGCAACCCGACCTGACCTGACCCATTTATTTTTGGGGCAGGTCGGGTCGGCATTTTTTTGCCCCGACCCAACCCATCCTCACCCCTAATGTACAGTGGGTAGACAGTGAAAAGTGGCTGCTTATTTTGGAATCCAGAGCTCCAAAACACAGACTTGACATCATGAGACTTGGTCAGGTGGTGCATAATAGGTCCCAAAAAATGAATATGAAATAATAAAAGCAAAAAATAAAGTTTCAAAATGTGTGAAAAATAAAGAATGAACTTGATTTTTTTTCAAAAGCTTTGATATTCATTTTGGGGGAGTGGGAGTGCTGAGAGAAAGAAAGAATGGAACATGGGAAGAATGATTATAAATGAAAAAAATTGGAACCAAAAAAGGTTTAGCCAGGTTGGTGGTTCAGATTGGAGCCAAAAGAGTAAATTCTAATGCTTTGCTGCAATATGAGCTGGTGAATGCCCCACTCAACAGCTGTTTGAAGCCATCTGGAAACCAATTTTTCCAAAATTTTCATTTATAATCATTCTTCCAATATCCCAATCTTCTTTTCTCTCAGCACTCTCATTCCCCCAAAATGAATTTCAAAGCTTGTGAGAAAAATAAATTTTATTTTTTATTTTTCACAAATTTTACATTTTTTTATTTTTTTATTTTTTTTATTTTTTCATATTCATTTTTTACAACCTATTCTGCACCACTTGACCAAGTCTCATGACTTCAAGTTAAAGATGGCCCCATGGGACCCAGGTACCAACTGCTTTTTTCGGCCAAAACGGACACTGGGTACCGCACCCGCTCAATTATGACGGGTACAGGCGGTACTCCTGGCGGGTACCGCCTGGCTACCGGAAATCCTTCCAGGCAACCTGGTTGAGACCAATCAGGTCGCCAAGGAGGGCCCTTACCGGCAACCTGATTGGTCTTGATCAGGCTGCCAAGCAGGGCCCTTACTGGCGACCTGATTGTTCTTGATCAGGTTGCCAAGGAGGGGTCCTCTCCAGCAACCTGGACCAGACCAGTTAGTCTTGGTCAAGCCACCAAGGAGGGGGTTTGGGGGCGGGTACCCTTAAAGGTACCAGGGTACCGCCTGCTTTTTTGCCCAAAAGCAGGCACCGAGTACCGCACCCGGCACCACTTGGCGGGTACCATCAGGGGTAGGGGGGTACCCGCCAACGGGTGCCGGGTACCCCAAGGCCATCTCTACATCAAGTCTGTGTTTTGGAGCTCTAGAATCCAAAATAAGCAGCCACTTTTCACTGTCTACCCACTTTACATGGATGTCTGGACCTCTAGAACAGAGGGATCAAATTAGGGGACAGACAGTTTGAAAGAGACTCATGGTTTTTTTTTGTGTGTTGTTTGAAGATGATCAGCCAACTATGTATACAAACAAGTTTTTGTTTAGAGAATAAGGAAATCTGGTAGTGATCAATGGAGAGGAAAGTGCTCTGTTTACAAACCCACAACCACACCAAAAAAAAAGAGAAGAAAGGAAGGATCTACGCAGGAGTGTGTTATATGTATTCAAGTGAAGCAGTCATCTGTTGGAATTTCGCTTGACATCTCTCTCCATCTCTTTTTTGTTATGTCACTCCTTTTTTTTATATTCATTATGCATAAGTGTTTGATCCCACAACTTGTGCTCTTTGTATCTAGAATACTTAACCATGACCGGATACTGAGATAATGAAAACATCAGTTCTTAACTGGTCCTAAGAGGACACTTTAGTGTCAATCGCACTTAAGCCCGATTGACCAAGTACAAAAATAACCAATCTCAGACTTCTGTCTGCTTTTGGCATCACCGACTTTTCTCCTCATCGACTTAAATTTCTTCATCATCAACACCAACATACCATCAAGTCATGTGGAGAAGACAGAAAAAAATCGGGACCAGAGGCACCCAGAAAGTATTTCTTTTCTTCTAAGTTCTGATCAAGACAGAAGAAGCATCAGACCACTCAAGATGGGTTTTTTTTTTTTGGAATGTAAGTATATTTGATGTGAAAATATAAACAGACAGATCAAGACCCACAAACATCTATGTACAATCTATGTCTTCAACAAGAAGAAGACCAGAAAAAAGAAAAAAAAAAATTTAAAGGACTACACAAACTGGATATGCTTTGGGAGTAGGACTTGAGAAAAACAAAACAACAACTTTGCACTATATATGAATATATCAACAACAACAAACCAAAAAAAAAAAAAAATGTGTGAGAAAAGTGATGATGAACAATTGGGTTTTGAGGGCTTGAGAGTTTGTGTGATCTAATCGTCCAACCCAACATTAATAGAAAAAAGAAGAAAAAGATGTATTTCAAAACCAAAACCAAAACTAAACATAAACTCAACTAAAAAACATCATCATCAATGTCATGGATAATAAGTCCCACAATGACGTACTGAATCAGGAAAGGAAGAAACAATGAGAAAGGACGCTTGGAATGCATGAATGAAACAAACAAACAAAATCAACTTGGTTGAAGAAGAAAAATAAGCGAGATCAGTCAAAGATAAGCAAGAGAGAGAGAAAAAAAAAGGAAAGAGGAGATGAGGGGGTGTCTTCTTGGTTGAAGATATGAGACTGGGTTTGTTTGAGAAGGTTTTTGAGGTTTGTTTTTTTGTGTTTCAACAAAAAAAAATGGTAGAAAGAAAGAAAAATGGAGAAAGAAAAATGAATATATGAATATATATATATATATACTTGTATATTCATATATATGTATGTATGTAAAGTACACCAAAACCAAAGCATTAAAAGTTATCTTATCATCAATGGGGGAAACTGAAAAAAATGAAAACTAGGTCAAAAAGAAGAATGAAGGAATGAAGAGAAGAAGAAGAAGAAAAGATGAGATGAAAAAAGGTAAGTATGGAGAGAGTAAGAGAGAGGAAAAAGATAAGATGGAAGATTATTTTTCAACAAGAGTGGAGAACTAAAGAAGAAGGAAGGACGGACAGAATGATGATCCAAAAAAAGAGAAAGAAAAGAAAAGAAAAGAAGGGATAGTGATATGAGAGAAGATGGATGATAGAATGGGAGAATTGTTCTAGAGAGGTAAGTGCAATCAAGAGCCAACAAAAGAGGTCATGGGAAGCTCAGGTGTGCACACAAGGACTATCATGGAGAGGCTGTGAATATATTTACTGCTAGATGATTGATAACACCAGCCTTACATCCCTTGTAGATGTTGCAAGACAGCCTACTCAGTTACGCCTTCTGGCCCAGGTCAGCTCGTTCAAGGATTTGCAAGTACCTTGAGAAATTAAAGCGACAGACGATTAGTATGAATTGATCAATAAGCAAATGGATCAGAAGAAGCGAAAGGGGAACTAACAAATACTTGAAGCTCCACAGCGATCCTTTCAATCGTTTGATATCCACCGCATACAGTCCTACCAATCCCCTCAGTCGAGTGATCTCCACAGCTATATCAAGAAAAAAGAACAAGTATGGTTAAATTAAACACCCGAGATGAATCTAAGAAAGGTTGGCTTACTGAACCGGACGTCATCACCACTGTCGACTGATGGGTCGTCAGCATAGGAAGGTAAAGGCTGAGCGCCGCTGGTATAATCGGCCCCATTAGCGCTACCAAGACTCCCTCCGGCGGATCCAGCCCCATGACCGCTGGTTGAAGCTACGCTGGGTCCAGTGGTGACGTGGCCAAATTGATCGATCAAGACCCCGATTTGCTGATTGGTGCTACTGGCTGTTTGAGGCCGTCGGTTGAAGATCGATTTGAACGCGCCGGTTGAGCCGTCTTGTTGGTGGAGCTTTTGTTGCTGCTGTTGCAGTGCTTCAAAGACACCCATCCCTAGACTAGCAACCACCTTCTTCTTCGACCGCCTCGTCGCCTTTAGCTTCATCGAACTCTCTTCAACCACATCAATCCCCATTTCCCAGAGTATCTGTTTCAGTTGCTGCATGATCACCGGCGGTAGCTTCGACGAAATCGCATTCTGGTCAATTGCTCCATGGTGCAACTTGAGCTTGTTGTCGTTGAAAACACCGTTTCGTTCGGACGCTGCAGGTGGTGCGTTGGGCGTATTGCTGAACTCTGCAGCAGTCGATGTGCTGGGGCGGGGATGGGCCAGGGTAAAGCGATGGCTAGCTTTGGAGGATACCGCCGACGTTTGAGTCACTGATTGATTTGACTGCAAGATATTTGAATACGAAATAGGTAAGAATATGGAGGGTGCCAGTTCGAAAAAGATAAACAAAAGCACTTACCATCAACGGTGCCGGAGCTTGCGAGGTAGGTTCGGGACCAACTGGAGGAGAATTGCCGTCAACACTTGATTGTTGGGCAAGCTGAGCGGGTTGATGAGCCTTCACTCTAGCATCAAAGTCCGTTGGGATTGGTACAGGAGGAACCAAATGATCGCTAGCATGAGCGTGAGGTTGGTTGGTACTCGTGGTACTGCCGTTCAAGCTCTTGAAACGGAACCAATCCATGACCCGCTTGGCTTTGCTGCTGTTGCTGGCCTGGCCAGTGCTGTTGGCAACACTTGCTGCGGGTGTGTGATGGCTCCAGTTCGGCGAAGCGGTTTGGCCCTCTCTCTGAGGACCACTGGTCTCATCTTCGTGAGGGGGTGTCGCCTGCACCGAAGGCGGGCCGGATTGTTGAGATGCAGGTTTTTTCAGAGCGGTCACTAGAGGTGCTGAGCCACTTGCAGGCATCTTACTTGAGGCGGTGCGGCCGTGTGCGGCCGTCAGGGTAGTCCGTCTCTTGACACTAGAAGCTTTGGACTTATCAGATGTTGGTACTGGTGGCGGAGTACTGCCATCAACAGGAGGGTTCGAAGATGAAGCTGGAGCCATGCTAGTACCTCGTTGACGACGTTTTGATTGATCGGGCTGCTGAGCTTCCGCAGAGGTGGGAGTAGGAGGCGCGACCTTGGCAGACTTCCGGGTGGGTCGGGCGCCAGCAGCTGATGCAATTTTACCACTTAGAGGTTCGACAACCATACTGAGTGCTTTCCGCCTGGCTGTCTTCGCGACAGGGGGATTAGCAGTGGTGTATGCAGATGCCTTCTTGGGAGTAGGAACAGGTGGGGGGTTAGATGGCTGAGTTGTGTTTGCACCAAGAAGCCGAGAGAAGAATCGATCTGTTGACAATCCTTTTCTATGGCGAGCCTGTGATTTGGCGGCAGTCGCTTTGGATGTGGAACCGTTAGGCTGTGCAGAAGTATGAGAGGCGGCGCTGAAGGAGACTTGACTAGAAGTTTTAGTAGCGCCTACAACGCCTTGGTTGGCCAATGGCTTCTGAGAGGGTGAAGGAAAAGGAACAGTGGGAGTAGATGTCTCATCGGACCCAACGGAACTGGGGTCGAGCGCCTTAGGAGTATTGGACGATCCGGTTACAGAAGCTTTGGGATTTCGGCTTGGCTGAGGAGTACTCTGAAGTGGGCTGTCGTTGGCGTGCTTGGGTGTAGAAGAAAGTGAGACGGCAGGAGCTGGTGTGGACATCCGAGGCGTACTGACCTGGCCCTCATCAATGGCAGTTGCGCCTTGAGTAGGGCTATGAGGCTCCGGAGCCTCGCCACCAGTGGTAGAGGGTTCAACGTTTTTGGCTTTGCCTTTGGCAACACCAGTGTATTCGACTTGAACAGTGTACCGCTGTTGAGACTGAGGTGCGGTGGGTGGAACAGAAGGAGATGTGGATGTACCGGCAACCTTGCGCTTCTTACCACTGACACTAGAGCCACTCTTCTTGGGTTCTTCGTCAATGATCATCTTGTCGCTCGGGATTGGAGGCACAGCAGCGATTTCTTCATTCTCCTTGTTGAGTGAGGATACCGGAACAATGACAGCTGATTGAGCCTGCTGATGTCGTCGATTGGAAGGAGTGGGAGCTGTAGTAGATTGATTACTGTTGGAATGTAAATGTGTGACGACACCTCCAGGGACTTGACGCTGTTGTTGCTGGTAAGCCCCGATGACATGATTGGAATGCAAGGCCTCATCAGGGCTGACCATGGCGGATGAAGGGACAACCATGGCACTCTGATGACCTCGGGCTCTATTGGCGGCCGCTGCATTGCCAGTGGCATGAGTCGGTTTTCCATCTGGACCAAGGGTTGGTTGGGATCGGTTGGCGTTGTTGGCAGCCATGAGTTGTCTTTGACGTTGAAGCATCAATCGTTTGGCTTGCTCATTTTCTTCAGAGAGACGTTCAAGCTCCTCCAAGGAACGAGTGAAAAGATGCTGATACCTTGATAGCCAAGAATGATTGGCGACGTCCTTGAGCGAACAACGCTTTAGCGGATCGGGGACGAGCATCTTGAGGAGCAAATCCTTAGGTTCATCTGAGATCCAATCAGGGAAACTGAGGGGTGTGTTGATGATGTACTTGTAGAGCAAATTGATGTTATCGCCATCAGGGTTGGAAGGGTCGTCGTCGAAGGGCAAGTAACCGGCCAACATTGCATAGAGAATGACTCCACAGGACCAAACGTCAACTTGAGAGCCGACGTAGCGACCATCCTGGACAACAAGTTCGGGGGCAGCGTAACAGGGCGAACCACATGAGGTGGCCATGAGATCATTGGTACGATCCTCGAAACGATTGGCAAAGCCGAAGTCAGTGATAATGATGTTGCGATTTCGGTCAAGTAGCAAGTTTTCTAGCTTCAAATCCCGATGAACGATCTTTTTAGCGTGAAGATAAGTAACTCCAGAGATAAGCTGAGCAAACAGTTTTGATGCATCCTTCTCCTTCAAGTAGCGATGAGCTAAGATATGGTCGAATAGTTCACCACCTTAACGAACAAATCAAGTATGAGCAAGCTTGTGAAGATCAAGGTTCTGATCAAGGTGAAAAAAAAAGAAAAAATTGATTGCGTACCAGAGGCATACTCGAGCACGATCCCAATGTACTTTTCCGTTTCAATGACATCGTAGAGTCTGACGATGTTAGGATGTTTGACGAGTTTGAGGACATCGATTTCGCGCGCAACTTTGATCATCCTGGCTTGAGTATCCACGTTACCCCGTTTGATGAGCTTGATTGCGACCTCTTCGCCCCACCTGTCAGGCGAAGAATGGACACCCAGTTTGACTTTTCCAAATTCGCCTTCACCCTGAACATAAAAAAAAGGGGGATTATTATCAGTTTCGTTGAGTTTTTTTGAAGGGAGTGGAAAGAGCTTACCAGAGTTTGAAGGAGTAGATAAGGACCGAAGTAAACACGTTGACGGGGCATGGGATGGGAGGGGCCGACCATGTTTACAGGCGAGGCGACTGGTTCGTGTTGGGTGCTCGGGGTTTGATGGACAGACCGATGTCGAGATTGGGCAGAGTGGGAGGCAACGGGGGATGGGGCATCGACATTCTGGGATTGAGCTGGTGGGCGAGTAGGAGGTTGAGCTGGATGCATGTTGAGGGAGGGCTGGGCAGGAGGAGATGAATGAGTGAAGGTGGGCTGAGGGGGTTTGAAGTCTGACAGACGGAGTAACGATTGAGGAGACGATCAGACACGACCACGAGGAAGGGATACTGATGAGGAAGAGGATGTAGGATGATGATGTTTGGGTGCGTATGTATTGGTGTTGATGATGCTGGAGGGAAGATGGGGGAAAGTCCAGATGGGAGATAGATGGGAGGGGGGAATGAAAACCCTAGAGCAAAAAAAGAGAAAAAAAAGAATCAGGACCAGTGCGAGGGGAGGGTGGGTGGTTGAGCGAGAAAGAAGGGCAAGGGAAGAAGGAGAGAAGGAGAGAGAGAGAGAGAGAGGGAGATTGTACAAGCAGAGAAGGAAAAGAAAGCTCAGTGAAGGCTGTCTATACTCTATGGTTGACGTGAGCGCCGCAGTGTCTGTGCCACTTCAACAGACCTCGGTTACAAGTGAAGGGGGGGGAAAGTCACAGCCTGGACAGGCCGAGGGATATTTTTGCAGGAATATAACGGGCGGGCGGGACAGAGAGGCAAAAAGAAAATTGGAGAGCTGGAATGGAATGTAGAAAAAGAGAGAGAGCGAGCGAGCGAGGGAGGGAGGGAGAAGGAGAAGCGGAGGAGGGTAGACGGCTGCTAGTAACAAGGCAACGAGCAAAGGAGAAGAGGGTGTGTGAGAGAGCTAGAGTTAGAGCGAGAGAAAATCAAGAGGGGGGTCACCGGAGGGATTTATAAAGAGAAGAGAAATGGGGGAGAGTAAAAAAAAAATTAAAAAAAAAAATAGAAAGAGAGAGAGAGAGAGAGATGTACAACAACAGCAAGAGAGAAAAAAACTGTGTACTTGGAAAAAAAAAGGATTTGTACTTTGATTTGTATACAACAACAACAACAACAGTCTTCAGTTATTATTATGATGATGGTTGGATGGGTAGTGGAGAATCTAAAAAGTTAAGAAAAGAACTGCTTCGAGAGCATATGAACCCCTCTCTTGTTGAGCGCTCAGTTGACTCTTGAAACAGATGAGATGGGGGAAAGTTGGATTGAATCTAATATTCTACAGTTCTTTTTAATTACAAGATTGGGTTCTTGAGGGGAGCTAGGCCCTTGGACAAAATCAAAGCAGACCTAAATATTGAATTGAAAGAGGGGAAGAGTGGAGAATTGAGTATACAAACCAACATAAGGGTGCGAAGGGTCCAGGTGGTTGATGTTGAGTGGTGATATTAACGATCAGAAAAGTGGTTCCCTAGACCAGGTTATGAGCAAAGGGTCTCGTTTAATTCGATTGCAAGTCCTCAGCTTGTGCGAAAAACAGTGCCGTCCAGCTCTCTTCGTCTGGATTGAAGTATTCCTTTACTTAGGAGCACTTGAACGCTCAAAACTATCTCAGCCGGAAGGGCTCCATCGATTCGGCGCTTCCCAAGCTCAACTACTTCACTCCCCAGTTTAACTGACCTCAAGTCACTTCCCTGTGAACCAGTCATCATGTTCTATTTACTTATATGCAGTTCGAACTTCGAAGCTCGGGTCGATGAGGCTGATGATGACTATTAGATGACTGCTGAGAAAAGACTGAAATTTGCAGTTACACTCAAGATCGAACTGGTCCTACATAGACTCATAGTAGCATGCCCTTTCCAAGCTCAAAGGAACTCCATCCCCACTGGCAAGACTTGTCGACCTCGCCAGGAGGATCAGGAACCTTGCCATAACCAAACCCATCACCATAGAGCCGGTTGCATGCCGAAACTCTCGGAAGCTCGCTCCGAGTCTATGAACGCTCTGTTGTAGTCTTAAGAGACTCTACGGCTGATCGCCCCAGCATGTCTCTGGGGTTATCTTCATCCTTCCGAGAGTCAAAAAGCCTGCAACCAGTCGTGGTTTCCTCCTTGAACGTCTATGTAGGCCGAACTTGGTTCCATAAAGCCCTCATATCAAATTAGCATAAATACGTAAACAGGCACTTATCATACGTACCTCGGATGCTCAATTCCTGGAGCCTTCAATCGCGGGTTGCTGCCGATCTGAAGACTGTCGAATCTGGGAAGGTACATAGATGAGCGTCGAGGGTGTGAAGATAGCGAAGGATCATCCTTCCCAACTTTCAAGACAGCCCAAGACAGCGGCACAGCCGTGGAGATCCAAAACAGCTAATTCCCTAAAACCTGGAAATTTTCACGATAATTCCGCTCTGTGAAGGGTACCGTTGTTGACCTTAAGTCTTGGAGCCCCTGCTTCCAAAAGTACAGCTCAACCTCCACCTTTTATACCCGCCGACCCTGGCTCACTTCCTCCACTCCATCACATCGACCCTGGCTGACTGCCTCCACTTCATCTCAGAATTTTTCCTTATCCAATGCCAGTCCCTGTACTTCCTAAAATAATTGTTTTTTTGTCCCGCTCTTCCATAGCTAAATCCGTAATTGTGCTCAATCCTCAAGCGTTGAAGATCACAAGGTTTAGGGGTGATTGTACTGAGCCAAATTTGGCAGAAGGAATAGACCAAATGCGAAAAGACAGAATTAGAACCGATTAAGTCAATAAAATGCCTCCAAGATGAAAGAAAATTGATTTTGGAGGGAAGCGATTGACTAT